GAATTTTGCGGTGCCGCGGTTTATCGGATCAGTATACCCAATAGGGGGACGATAGTACAGGGACCCACGTGCCAGTTACTCCCCAGCTGGCGGAGTTCCACAGGGCACTGGCAGCAGGGCGGGTTGGGCGTGGTTCACCCCTCCCATCACCTTTCTCTTCTTCGTCGCCTGCAGTCTCTCTTTCCCAGTCCCGAATCTTCCCTCTCCTCCACGCCCTCTGCGAGGGTCGGCGCCTCGGCGGGCGAACGTCGAGCTCCTCCTCGTCTCATCGGCTCGTCGCTCCTCGTCCCCAACCCCGACCTCGAGCTTCTCCTACTCCTCGTCACGCCGGCCGCCGCGCACCCTTTGACCTCGACAGATCGACCTCGCCGCCGAGCCCCCGACACCAACGGCAGCTCTTCTCATCCTCTCCCCCCTCAGGTGACCCGGTCCCAACCTCCCCTGCTGTAGAGTTGTGCCTCGGTGCTTAATTCCCATGCTCTTTATTCGTGCCGTCTCTGTGGGTTCCGCTCCTCTGCGGCCTGCGCCTCCCGCTGGCTCCATGGAATCTGCACGCGGCTTGATTGCTTGGGATGCTGCTGTCTCTTGGCTGCTGCTGCTGCTGCTATTGGTCTGTTGCTACTCCTTGTGCCTGCTGCTACTCGTGTTGTTAAGCATGTCAAAATTGCTGTTTTTTCTCTTTTTTGAACCGGGCATATGACCCCTTTCCATTACTCAGGCCCGTATGGGAAGCAGGTGCAGCATGTGCGGTGGCACAGGGCCCCTAAAATTTTGGGGCCCCAAAAAATAACTTAAATGGCAGTTAGTAGTATTAATCACGGGAATATCCAAGCAACGTTCATCTGCTGTGCAAGGTTCCAACCTCCAATGCCAACGAGTTTCAGATTCCAAGGCCAGTACACAAGCGCACGCCTTTCTCTTGACCTCTCTCTCCATTTAAATGACATTTAATACTAGTATAAATTACCACTTAGTTGGATTAGTAAATTCCTCAAGCATCATATCCGGAACTAGTACAGTCTGTTCTGCTACTATTCTTCTCCAGTTTTTCCGTTATCCTTGAACCAAATGACTTCACAAATTCTTCAAAGAAATTTGAGGGTGGCATGGATTCATATGCTCCACTCTCATCTATAGATTTTCTTCTCAACATCCACCTCTCTTGTATTATTATTATTACGAAGATTATGTTTATAGTATGCTAAATAAGTACTCCCTCCGTCCAGAAATACTTGTCGGAAAAATGGATGTATCTAGACGTATTTTAGGTCTAGTTATATCCATTTTTATCCATTTCTCCGACAAGTATTTTCGAACAGAGGAAATACGATTTTCTTCATATAAAGAGCCTAATTGCATCCTATTTTGCACCGGGCCCCCGGATCCTCGGGTACGGCCCTGCCATTACTTTGACATAACGGAATTGCATGAAAAATTCCGGCTTGTATGCTCTGAAAATTGCACCCGGCCGCCTCTGCTGCCGTGTCCACGCAAAGAGCGCTTAGGCGAGCTAGGTGCTAGGCAGAGGCAAAACAGTTGTCTAACGCCTATCGCTTAACGGACCGTTTATACTTTATACACATATAATGCTTCTAGAATTTCCAAGACATGAAATCCGTATGTGCTCACGTGCAACATTTTTGTACCAAAATATTGTCTCAGATTCCATCACATTTTGCAGAAACCACCCTCAGATGGAACCGGCAAAGAACGGGAAGGGCAAGGAGAACACAGAAGAGCATAAGAATGAAACAGGTAATAAGCTTCCTCTCCCAAGAGTTGACTATGCGTCCTACTGTACTAACACAATACTATTTTCATTCTCTTTTGACATGTACTGTATATTTCGATCATAATTGTTCGTTTTAATTTTTCAGAAGAGAAGCTAGTTGTGGACATTGTGGACAATGATTATATAGATGCAGTTGAAGAAACAAACTCCATTTCCACTGATACCCTTGTGAGTGAGAGTGATTCTGAGAGTGACGATTCCGAGAGTGACGCACCTCAACGAGCGCCAAGCAACAGAACCCGAGGAGGAGGACGAGGAGGCAATAGAACCCGAGGAGGAGGAGGAGGGCGAGGGGGCAACAGAACCCGGGGAGGAGGAGGACGAGGGGCTAACAGAATCCGAGGAGGAAGAAGAGGGGGTACGGGACGCACTAGTGGTTAGCATCTTTATCGGCATTGCCAAAATATTAGTGCAATTTGAATGATGTTGCAATTGCCTTAGGTCTGGAACTCCAAACTTCTAACTTTAATCCTTTGTTAGCCGTTCTTACCATAGTTCAGGCTTCAACACCGTAGCGGCTTCTATGTTGTGTGATCTCGATACCATGTTTGGTTTTGAGCTCCAGTAATTCAGAGCTTGCATACATTTAGTTCTTTTGCCTTCTGTCTATTTCTTGCTGTTTGAGTATCTAGGACTTCTGGACGGGCTAATCACGTGGTATCATGCTTCTAAATGAGAATGATCAGTGAAATCCATTAAACCATCTAGATCATTGATTGTTTGATTCACGTCAAACATGTGTTAGGTCATTTCTAGCAGGATCTTGAGTGGCTTACTGTGATTTCCCCCTTCTCACATTAGTTTTCTGCTGTTTGGGATGGGATATAACACCACTAGTTCTCTGTTGCTAGCATATTTCCGCTGTGCAAAATATTCTAGTTTGATCTATTCACTGGTTTTTGCAGCTCTGGGTGCACTTAATTCTCTGAATGTTGCTATTGCTTATTGCAGCTTGCCTGAATAAAATAGAGCATCAATTCTGTTTGTCTGTTTGCCTCCTTGCTAGTGTTATTTAGATAATGAGTAAAGATATTTGAGACTGCAAACTTAAATGAAGTGCTGTCAACAGATGACCCTGGACAATTGGACATCTCCCAGTTTTATCTACCAACTTGAAAGGCTCTAGTGGCATAGTCTGACTGTTTCTTGGAATAACTACACGTGCTGAAAATTTCAAGTTGAAAAATGATTTGACATATTTGATGTGCTTTTCACTTTATTTGAAAAATTCATTTGGCCTTCGAAATTTGCATTCCGTCAATGAGCTAGAGGGGATTTCTGATGTGTTGTCATATTCTTACCTGAAGCCACCATTGACAGTTGTCCATTGGATCCTCTGACTAGTAAAATTTGTGCATTGATTCTCGGCTCACTGTTTATGCAGAATTTTTTGTAAGTGAAAATTGAGGCTTTTACATCACCACGGTATATTCCAAATCGAGGGTGGTTTGGGTATTTCTTAGAAATTTGGGCTGACGATGATTGATGGATACATTTTCCCTCGTTGCAATGATAGATTGATAACTGGCAACCTTTGCTATGGTAGATTGATATATTTTTCCTTCTTTGAACTGGTAATTTTGCTGCTCGCTACCAACCTCTTGCTCTTTGTGGCCAAACAATACTCTCATCAAGTAGCAGGGTGCAACCTCTATGGGGCATGCTCCTTGTCGGCTCACTTTGTGCTTCTGGAGAGTTGGCCTCCTGCGAGTGTCCTTGATTTCTCCTAAGCTCTCCAGGAGGAGTGAGCGAGTGATCT